AAGAAATAGAAGGTAACTTACATGGACATTTACAATTTAATTCTTGGTAGCCAGCCAACATCTGCTTTTCATTCTATCATAGAAAGAGTTTCAATCCAATCGTGAGAGTTAAAGTCAATGAAATATTTATAAGTAGCAGGTCAATTAGTTACAAATTAAGTAATAAAAGGTACTCCAATGAACGATGTTATGTATGCCTGATATTAATTGCAATACTCCAACATCCGTCTGTTAATAATTTCATCGATTAATTAGCTAATACCTAAATTTTAGCTATAGAGTTGGAAGTATTATTAGTTCTTCTCGGAGTTAGGTGAATTCCCTAGATTGAACAATTTGTCATCAATATGGTTTGGCTTTAAGGCCACAAAAGATGATAGTTATGAGTGAATAAATTACAAATACTCTCATTCTACTCTTAATAAAATACTAGCTTTTTGACTGTTGATGATGATCTTAGTCGAGGATCTGATAGATCATTCAAGACAATGAGTGTTAAAAAATCGCCCAGTTTTTAACTAATAAATTAATGCTACTAATTCGCTTCGATTCTCTTAAAATAACAGTTAATACTGTTCCGTACACGGCACAAAAACCACTTTTAAAATTGCAAAATATAACAATGCAATAATGACAAAGGCGGCTGCGGCTAGTGATCGAAAAAGTCGATATTCGATATATCGACACCAGCCAAGGTCAGGCAGCAAGTGAACCGTTTACGTAAAGGATCAGCATCCGGCTGCAACTTGCGACAGCTACAAACTTAGCACATGTTGCCGACAGAATATTTGCGAAAACAATTTTAGATTGGTGCGAAATTAAAGACGTTATCGAAAAAAAATCGTTGATGATGCACGTGTAGGGAAAGAAGTCAGTACAAATTGTTACTTGTTTCAAACATACACCAAGTTGTAGAGACTCCAACCAATACGAAGCCATGGAGGACTTAACGGACTGAACTTGCCAGGGTTTTGGCTGAAAGTGCAGAAGTAGGATAAGGTTGGTTTTTAGACAGTAAGAGTCTGACCCTCCCTCTCGCTTCACTCGACACGGGAGAAGTCAATAGATAATTTACCCACCTCACAAAAACACTCCGACAAACAGGGAACTGTTTTCTAATTTGTAATTCTTTCAAACACAATTTTATTTCCCTGACATGCAAAACATGTAATCAGTTACTGAATCTGCAAAAGAACTTATACTGGGTACTTTAGTTACACACCACATTTGTTGTGCACTTTTTCCTATCACACATATATTCACACCTAACCAAGCCTTGATTCAAAAACCCACACTACTCAAAAAGCCAGATACAATTTTTTTCTACCCAAAGTCTGCACTTATGACCTCAAACAAATGTTTGAGTCCACTTCATGTCACATGATTGAGTGTCAGTAACAGGTTCCCAGCAGGTGCTCAGAACTAAAACATGCATAAATACTGCACGAGGAACCTGTTTCTGTGATTGTCGCCTTTCTCGTTATTATACTTATTTACGTTAGAATTTTAAGACGTATATATATTATATTTAATAAATATTTTAGCGGCAGCGTTAGTAAAGAATTTAAACTTGATATCACATATTTTGGTACCTTACAATCATGAAGAATGAATCGCATATATTTTATTATTCACTAGCTTTTACCCGCGGCTTCGCTTGCGTCACAAATAGATAAAAGTTGCCTATGTGACATATATGTACCAATACACACAGCGCCATCTATACCAATACTTTTGTTTTCGCTCGGGAATTTAAAATTTTTCCGGGTTTAAAATACCCTATTATTTAATCCAGACTTCTAACTTTACGTCTGCAAAAATTCAAAGCAATCGGTTCAGTAGTTACGGCGTGAAAGTGGAACAAACAAACAAACAAACTCAATTTCCGATTTATAATATTAGTAAGGAAGTAAGGATTATCACTATCTTTTACCCGTTTAATTTGAACTATCATACATACAAGACCATCTTTTAAATCAGTCTATCAGTTTAAAAAAACCTCATCAAACTTCGTCAAGTTATTTTAAAGATCTAAGCGTACCTAAGTAGGTCCGTTAGGAAAGTGACGTTTTAATGTGTGTAATCAAATTCTTAAAAGTTCTGGATCTTTTCCGTATGCACAACAATACAAAAACAGTTTATACAGAAACCGTGGTTCAAAATCTACCAAAAACAATTTATTTATTTACCTGTTATAAATTAGCTCCAAACATAAATATCAGTTCATTTTCTTCACTAAAAAATCTCAATCACCGCTAAAAATATAAAGTTTCTCGAAACGCGAATTCCGATTAAAAACAAACGGATGATATAAACAAGAATTTTAAATTAGATCATCATTTTGTATCGAATATTTTTATTGATGAACATAATATATCAGGTAATTCCCAGAGTTTTTAGAAAAGACCTCAAAAGGACCCAATATTTGACCTTATTAATGTAAGGTCATTGGTAACATTTGAAGTGTCACCTTTACTGTTTAGTGACACTCAAATAAATAATATAAATACCAATAATTTTGTGACAAATTTAATTAAAAACCACAATCTTTTAATTTGAAGTGAATACTTTTAATATTAAATTGATACAGTTCAGTGCAAACAATAAATGGCTTTATTTTTAACCGACTCCAAAAATATATGTTTGTGCACGATTATCCCGCAATTAGTTGAACCAACTTTGATGTGGTTTTCAGCAAAGTATTTGTTACACTTAGGAAAAGATTTTAGAATTATTAATATAACCGATTTCAAAAACGTTTAATATAATTTTTTTTTAAACGTAGTTTTTAAAATATATATGATCTCTATAGAATATCTAACTTAGAGTTTGATTAAGTGTGGGAGAGCCATGCCTCGGCACGAATGGGCCAGCTCGACCGCAGTGATACCACGGCCTCACAGAAGACGGACGTAAAACTACGCTTGCGTGGTGTTTCGTCGTGTGAATGAGGTCACCGGAGGCCCAAATACCCCCCTCCCCACTTCCCAATCTCCCCTATCCCCGAATCCCCAACCATCCTCAAACTTCTAATCCCCAAAAGGCCGGTAATGCACTTGTAACGCCTCTGGTGTTTCGGGTGTCCATGGTCGGCGTCGATTGTCTCCTATCAGGTGATCGGCCTGCTCGGTTCATCCCACTAAAAAAAACACTATATTTTTCGTATTTACTATACTTTTTCTCTCAAACCAATGACGCTTAATACCATATCTTATGTTCTTACAAATCGAACCGTCAATAACATGAAGCAAGTTAAAATATACATAAGAAACATCTGCCAAATAACCGTGGGAATAGCTTAGTTTGCCTTATTGATGTAAAATCAAATAAAATTACTTTATAACTGAGTGCGGAGCAATTTGTTCTGGCGCGCATAACGAACTAGACTCAATCATTCTCAGCCAGGGCTGTCGATCAAATATTAATATCAATTTATTTTGATTGTAATTTTGATTTATTATTTTGTACATCTTATTTTATTTTAATTGAGATTCAATTTAATTAGTAGTTATCTGTGTTGTTTAATTAATTTATATGACAGGTATAATAAAGATGGATCACTTATAATTAGATGTTAAGATATTTTATAACAATTATTTTAGCAACTACACAAGCATTTTAAATGTATGAATATTAAAGCAGCCAAGTACAAGGAAACAAAGTACCCAATCAGAAACCTTGACAAAAATATCATTTACTAATTACAATTGTAAAATATTCGAGCCGACAATTTGATGCGTCGTCGTGCATATTTTTGCAGCATCACGACCTCCTACCAGCCTCATCCCATGATCCACATAATTATACACTAGCAGTCATCGTGAACCACGCGTCCACGCTTCTTTTCCTACCCACGTTCAAATAGTTCGTGAGGAACGTGACAGGTGGCGCTATCTGGTGTCATTATCAGGTATTACACATGTTGAATAATTATTGTAGCACGTGGGACTGCGCACGATTCTCTTAAGGTGTGTGATGATCCTGAGTTCTAGTGCTGTGATATGACCTTTTTGATTACTTAGAATGAGAATTTAAAACTTATAACCGTTTTCCCCAACTTCTAAACCATCTCTTAACTAAGAGTTACTAGCGTGAGGGGATCACCTAAACCAACCCCTGACCTATACTGTTAAGTGTCACTTATAGGTTGGTAAGACCTGAAACTTCGTTTAGAGTCATCTTCTTAACTTAGGGCTTACTTACTTCTAACAACTATTAGCTTCCATGAAAAACAACAATATACTATATCTGCACTGTCTGCAAGCAGCCCTTTCTACATATCTATCAACCCTAGACGAGTGATGCGCGAAAATGGCCGCCGGAGCGGATCGTTGCCCAACGCAATGAGGCAAGCGCCGCGATAACATCTAATACGTACGTGTTGCAACTATTGTGAGCAGCTTTTTTTGCACTCCACTGTACACTGTAGTGCACGTATCCACGAACAGCCGGAACCGAATTAACATTGTTTGAAAAGAAGTCGGTTTAAACATCCTCGTCTTTATTTTGTTGCAATTTGCGTACAAAAGCAAAATGTAGTTCGATAAAAATTTACAGGATCTTGAACTGTGTCAGTAAAATAATAATATTAACTTTTTAGAAATTACACATAAAATTATTGTATTCGATAAGTTATAATACAGTTGGTTGCGCGATGGTCGCCACGCTACTTTGTTTGTCGCACAAACCACGATAAGTACTTCTCATCATCATGAGCCCCGAGCATGGCTCGAAACTTGTCAAGTTCCCTCGTCAAACGGTTACGTGAGAAAGATGTAAAAGATAATCACAACATCCCATAAACTCAAACAGTTATACCACATACATATTTCTTAGAATATTGTTTACGGAAACTATTATAATAGTTAGCAACATTAGTTATACACTCCTTGGGCTAATAATAATCTAATACCTCTACTAATACCAATAGATAAACATCGTGTTGAACCATGCACTTGAAAATAAAAAACAATTTTGTGTTATAACTCCCACAAGCCACAATGCGTAAGACTGAGTAAGCCATCATCCCGACACTCAAGGATGAGCATAGGCAGAGCCTACCATTACCTAATAACACACCTACATTGATAATACCATAATTACACACACAAAGGTGTCACACCAAATAAATCAAAACAAATAAATTACATAGAAAGTAGGCTCCGCCCACCTGTGTCTGAGCTGTCACTGCGCATGCGTATTGTACGCCCAGTATTGACTATGAACAGTAGGATGCGCATGAGTCGACAGCGTGTGAGCAGATGTTTAAATCATCTGTCAAATTAGCATAATTACGGATACGATGAAATGTTTGCCTTAGTCATATTTTAGAGTATTAAGGAGTGTTTTAGTTGGTATTGATTTTTACTAGATTAACGCTTAAGAGATAACTAATGAAGTTATTTACAGTGTCTAAAAGTCTTGATTAAAAATGAACTTGATCTTGTAAAAGATTTTGTCTTTAATACATTTTGGTAATATTTTGGAATGTAAACTGATAATTTCATTAGTAATGTATTTTTTCTTTCTATTGATACCCATTATTATTTACTCGTAAACATTTTTTTGTATTTCAACATTTAGATACATATCCACGGAGGATCTACGAAACATGTTACAATCTACGTGATTTATTGACAAAAAGCGGCTATCGAACTCTGACGCATTGCACCAATGCCTTACAAAAACAACTTTTAAAAAGACCAACTTGAGCTTCCTCTATTAAAGTCAGTATATTAAAACCAGCTTTAAAAGTCGGTTCACCTAATCGTGAGACAAATACATATATACAGGTCAAACTCAGAGCCTCCTTTACTTGAGTCGGTTAATAAATAAATTTTCATTTCCCACAAAGTTAATAATACCCAGTACCTAAATATATCTCTACCTGTTTATCGCACAACCACCTCTAATTATATATGAATAATGCGGCATTTATATAATTTACTGTTTCTGTACATATGCGTAGTATTCTGACGTCTGACATTTAAATAAACTGTTGGATCCGTGGTATTTAATTACCACTATATACCCTAAAGCGATGTAACTTATAATGTATTTGTTATATGGAAAATGTGTACATTTATTTATGGGAATAAATTAATGGAAACTGACAAATATACATATACATACATGCATAAACCATACAAGCAGGAACCACAGAGCGCTATCAATTAGTATTGTTATAAATACACGATCTACTGACAAATTTTAAGGGAATGAAAGATATAACATAACAGTTATGTTAATAACATCACACCTTTTATCCTAAACGGGGTAGGCAGAGGTGCACATTACAGCACTTATTGCCACCGTATAATCATATAATGTAACGCCCACATTTCACTATTTATGTTATAACTTAAGTTTTAGTTAATGATGTAATAGGGGGTGAGTCTATTGCCATATACCGGACACAATTTCATTCCATTCCAAAACCGAAAGACGTATGTAGGAATTGGCGTTCATAAGTCTATACCTACTCCCATCAACACTTTTAAGAACGAAACCAGTTTTCTATGCGGGAATCGAACCATAATCGAAAATCACTGCCACCCGCACAATCATAATTATCTACTTACATAGTACATACAATCACGCTACACTCCTAATTACTGTAGCACGCACAGAAGCAAGCACGCTTCAATCAAACATTACCGCGAAAACATGTAGGAAATAAATTGATTGAGTTGTCCCCTCCCTGCAATATACAGTATGATGCACACACGCACCTCACGTAAACAAAGTTACGATGTGTCTACCAATTAAGTGGTTTAATTATGGCCGTTCGTGTTGGTATAAGTAGTTAACGCCTTGCGTTGAAATGATAATGTTATGATTAATTAATAGAACATAATAAATTGTATGTTTTGTATCGTTTAGTTGATAATTAGTTGTTTCTTCTATTAAAAATAAATTGTTTTAACTCATATATATATCAGAGTATCTAAAAATAATGCTATTCTCATTATTTGATGTTTTTTCTTTTTTTTATTGCATAAGCCCGTAAACGAGCAGACGGATCACCAGTAAGCAATCGGCGTCGCCCATGGACACCCGGAACACCAGAGGCGTTACAAGTGCGTTAGCGGCCTTTTGGGGATAAGGAATTTGAGGATTGTTGGGGATTCAGGGATTAGGGAGATTGTGGAAGGGGGGTTTATTAGGCCTCCAGTAACCTCACTCACACGACGAAACACAACGTAAGCGTTGCTTCACGTCGGTTTTCTGTGAGGCCGTGGTATCACTCCGGTCGAGCCGGCTCATTCGTGCCGAAGCATGGCTGTCCCACACTTAGTTAACTTTAGTTTTAGTTAATAGTTAGTTTATATAACGTTGCAATTTGTCGTCAACATGTTCACTGTTCATAATTATAAAACTGTTGTACTTATGAAAAGATAAAAAAATGTAATGCTTTTCTTAAAAACTATGTACTTAGCCCTTGGAAAATTAGGTCATTCATTAGTTCTCACGCTAATATGACCAAAAAACACTTTTATAAACCTTGACGATATCCGCAGTTCATTAATTAACAATTAAATTACAAAGTGCATTTAATTTAAGTAACTTTACATTACGTTTGCGTATAAGTTGACTGTCCGAGAGATTTATTAGTGCTGTGAAGCGAAAAGTAACATTTTGTGATTTTATTATTTTACAAGGCAATCTGTGTTTGACGCTTAATCAACAAGATGATCTAGATTGTAGGCAGGCATTCAATAATCTGTTGTGTCTTAGTCTGCTTATATCTCTTAAAATATAAGCCACCAAAATGCCTTTTTTATAAAATTTTAAAGTATTTTTCTGCAGTATTTACGATAAAGTTTTGTATAAACTTAGCATATACGTAATGTAATAAAACTGGTAATAAATTCGAACAATAAGGCATTATATCAATTCTTATATTATGGCATAGACAGTTCTATAACAAGTACCCCGAGACCAGTCTCTCTGCTGATCCCAATCGATACCATTTCAATAGCAAACAAATCTCGGTCGAATGTCGCAACCCATTGGTTCCGGATACAAACACAATTGCATACAACCTGTATATAGAACGACTAGATCAACAGTTTAATATCCATTGCGTTTATTGTTCTAAACTATTTTGGCAATGATTCTAACGAAGAAGCAATGGTCATCGGTGTTTGTAGAAAGAGTCATTGAAGTTTGTTTTTTTTTGTGTATGTTTTAACATAGATACATGGTGTAAGATAAATAAATTGGATATTGTTATCAGTGTATTGTGTTGGTAATTGATCTCAGTCAATGCAATAGGTATTATTATGATATCGCCCTTATATCCAAATACTAAGACGCACTTAAGTATACTTAAGCGCGTCTTAGTATTGAGTGGAGTAGATTAACTGTCAATTTCTGCTTAGTTAAGAAATCAGACTTCCGATTTTAACAAAAGATGACGCGAAATTGACTTCTCCTGCAGTTGTGTAGGCGATGTGGTAATTCAGTAACATGAAAAAAATTAACATTACAAAGTGACTAATGAAATTTCCAATAGAGACATTCTGAGAAATAAGTATTGCATCCGTCTGTATTCTGCAAATAGATACACAACAGTAGGTAACCTTTAAATATTTTAACCGTCATAACTGTTTGGGAAAACCACATAATATCCCCAATAGGGACACCAGCACAACAAAGTATCCAATCTTTTTTCAAAACAAACATTTCAAAATTCAAAATCTAATAAAGTAAAACAATTTTAGGGTACCTTGATACCTTTTCAATGACCATCATAGACTCGTAACTGACATAATATGTAGGTAACATTACAACACTTGTTAAAATTCCATTCACACATCGGCCAACAGACGGACAAGTACAGAACTTGTTATATTTCAAAGTATATATTTAGGTATTTCGCGGTTGGAGAAAGAGAGCGATCGGTCAAGGCTGCTGAGCTGATACTGCGCCCAATTGTCGGTTCAATTCAATTTTATGAACGTGTATTGAGTCTTGTGTACGTTAGAATTATAAGTAAGATCTAATGTACTTTTGCAGATTTTTAAAAAGTCAATTATAATTAGGATGATGACAGGGTATGAAAATTAAAAATATATTTAGTCCGCAAGTTAGGTACCTAATGAAAAAATATTAGACACGTGTTTTTTTATTTTGTCGTATAATAAAACAATACTTAGATAATACGAATCAAAGTTTAGGGGTGGGGGCTAAAACGTCATTTCTACGAAGTGACGTCACGCGACATTTCAATTCAATATACCGTCGAAAGTAGATTAGTTTCTGGAAACGAATTACTCACATATTATCATTAAAATATTTGATTTTTGAGTGGTTGGCTCGGCTCGGGTTCGATTACCGGGTCGGGCAAAGTATTACTGGGTTTTTAAAAAAAAATCTCAGTAGTAACATGGAGTCTGAAATTATGCCCGGTATATGGCAATAGGCTCACCCCCTATTACATGGGACTCATATCATAAAAGTGAAAAGTGGGTGTTACATTGTACAGTGGCATTAAGTGCCATAATGTGCATCTCTGCCTACCGCTTCGGGGATAAAAAAGCATAATATTATGTTATGTTTTAAAAAAAGACTAAAAACAATAAATACCTCTAACATGCGACTGACAGTACACAATTCCATTTCATTCCAATAAACTTAACGATTAGTGATCGCATTAAACAGAAAAAAATGGCGATCAACATTTCTTTGAGAGGTCTAAAGAATGAAGGAAATCCGCGTTTTAAGGTCACTTGCCCGAACACTCGCACTCGTGGCATCGAAGGCTGACCACTATCAATCGAGGCTTAGTTGTGATAACGTATGCAACTTTAAGAATTTGGTACGATTATATGAACTACTTTTATATCGACCTCAAAAAAGGAAGTATGTTCTCAATTCGCCTGTATGTTTTTTATGTATGATACGCGATAACTCCGCCAATAGTGGATCAATTTCCAAAATTATTTTGTGGCTCGAAAGGTTATTTATTAATTATTAGGTAATGATAGTATTTAGAATGATTTGAAATTTGGCTTAAGATTGTGGTAAGCAAAAGTGTTACTTATAGGATCACTGTCTTGAATGTCTATTTTGTTATGGTTAGCTTATTAAAGATGGAAATGAGAATGCTTTTATTAAAACTTGATCTGTAAGTACTTAAAATAGATTTAAATCTAATCTGTGTAACCAAGACAAAATCTTTTACATTGATATTCATCGTCATATTTATGTACCTCTATTATAGAAGAATTTGTAATACAAAAGAAAGAAATCTTTATTTCACACGCTAAAGATAAGTGACATGTACACATAGATTATAGTGTTAGTTCATAAGTACTGATAAGTACATATTCATGTCCCAAGTCTGCGGTAAAATGGAACCAGTTCAGCATGTGCAGTGTGAGTAACATTTAATATCATGTGAATTTGTGGAACTAAGCAACATTTTATAATTACGAAGCAATTTATATTTAACCACCTATAAAACTAACATTAAACCACGATATAAACATACCTGTCGTGGTGGCTCGGAGGTTTAAGACGCCTGCTTCTCATGCATGAGGGTGCGGGTTCGAAACCTACCAACGGCAAGTACCAATGTGACTTTTTCCGAGTTATAAGTACTTTCTAAGATTATTTAGACACTACTGACAAACGGTGAAGGAAAAACATCGTGAGAAAACCTCGGCTTATAATTTCTAATTATAAATTTGAAATCGCCAACCTACATTGAGCAAGCGTGGTGATTAATGCTCTAACCTTCTCCGTGTGAGAAGAGCTCAGCAGTGGGCATTTATAGGCTGTTGATGATGATGATGATGATAAACATAAACACACGTCTAAACATGTGTAAAATTAATTACTTTTACGATATAAACAATGAAACATCGAGAACAATGACGAATCCCCCACGATACTACAATCAATCACAACATAGTTTAACGACAGCACTTTAAGTGTTAATGATGACGTCAACAAGTCATTAATCATTCAATTTATGAAGCTCTAAAACTGATGACTACCACTTCATACTTAGTTCCTATTTACCATATCCAGAAGTCATTAAATGATGCGCAAATTACATGACTACTTAATGTTTATTCAAAGATTGTTGTTATTCAAGGATATAAATATTACTACCTAGATGTCATTATCATCATAGTCATCGGTAACAATATATCTTGAAGAGTAGGAGTAAGAACGGGGTGGTTTTTAGTCAGTAAGAGTTTGACACTCCCCCCGCCTCACCCAAGGCGGACAAGGAGAAGTCATTCGATGATATCTATTCTGAAAAAAAGGAAAAGAAATTATATGTTTTGGTCGACTCACTGGACAATAGTGAGAGTAAGTCTAACAGACATTTGTGGTGTTCAAAAAGACAACAGAAGTTTTAGTAAAAGTATATTGATTGGATTAAAGTTTGAACATGGCCTGTGCTTACAAACATTTGGTTATTCAATAGATATTGCAGTTTAGCTTTTTGCATAATAGATTCAGTTGACTCAAAGGACTGACGCATTCATTACCAAATGCCAAGTCTTGTACAATACCAATCACATTGTCTATTTCCCCATATCATTCCTTATCTTCATTCCAACTCATCACAAATTACATAACTAACCAGAAAACCACAAAATACCAAAAAACTGACATCATTCTCAAAATCAAACTTAATAACCATCCCATACAGTTTATGACCATAATCTGGTCAATTAACAAAATGAACTTGTTAACATTAAAAGTTCAAAACTAACATCAGGCTAGATGTAAATTTTTCGCGGGCTGCGCGTGCGATGCACTGCAAAGGTCAAGAAACTGGTTTGTACCAGCTCACACTGGTGAGAATCCTCTAGCATTCATGTTAGTTGAAAGATAGATATGATTAAGATTCCTTCGTATTTAGAAACGATTTTTGTCAATTTCCTTGAACGTATCGCGATGGCTAATAATTCTCGGAACTAGTAAGACAAATAGAAACACGTTGTAGATTTACTTTTAACCACTTAAGTATAGCTTTTAACAATCCTAATTTTTAAGTGGAGGTGCAATACAATTTCGGCTCTGTTCTTCAGAAAATTTACACATTACAAAGATATTTTGAAAAATTCACCCCCTTTTGGTTTTAATTTAAATAGCGAACTTTACAAGCAGTTTATACATTGGTTATCTTTACATAGGAACATTCACAGACACCTTTGTCCCATCAAGCTAAACAGAAATTAGAGTTGGGATTGTGCCTGATAAAGAGTGTTTTTAATTAGTGGATATTCTAAAGCTGTTGCTCTCAGTCTCTTACAGACATCATAACACTTCCTCCGATAAGTTATCTATTCTTCACTAAATTCCATCTTCACAATTTCCAGATGCTGTGCCCCACCCTGTTCCTGGCGACGCTGGCTCTGGTGAGCTGCGACGTGTCCCACCTGCTGGAGACCACCACGACGCCCGAGCCGCCACCACATCCCTACGTGTTCTCCTACACTGCTGGCCGCTACCCTGGACATGCTGACAGGACGCACACTGAAGTCAGTGATGGCAGTGGTGTTGTTAAAGGTGAATTTTAATTATCACACCTTAATCCCCGAAGAGGTAGAAAAAGTGCACATTACGGCACTTAATGCCACTGTACAATGTGACACCCACTTTTCACTATTAATATTATGAGTCCCATGTAATAGGGGGTGAGACTACTGCCATATACCGGGCACATTTCTAGACTACGTGCTACTACTGAGAAATTAAAATTAAACCCGTGATACTTTGCCCTACCTTGCCTCCTTGTCGCACTAGCGATCACTCGGCCAACGATGCAATTCAGTGAACTTTAAGTACCTCATTTTTTTAAATCTTTGGTCTAGTTAAGTATTTAAAGTTAGCAGAGATTATGATAAACCTTTTTTGTGTAAATGAGGATCATAGTCTATCAGTGAACTGTCACAAGTTGTTTACGAAGATGTAGGCTTTTTATAGGATTTCTTTTATTCGTTTTCTTGCTCCTCCAATGAATCACTTCATTGTATCATTCAAAACGGCTAAGTACTTAATTGTGTTTCTTATGACATACAGTCTTCATTTCTGTACCTACGTAGTCCACTATAAATTTTAAATAATTAAAAGTCGAAATAATACAACATCAAAACGCATTGCTTAAAAATACAAATAATAGTAAAACTTGCAATAACATCCGACACCAACCAGTTTAAATTTAATCAAAACTAAAAAATGTCTCCAATCAATTCAATAATGGAGACGTAAAACAAAAAAATCAAACACATATCCGTAAATAATGTTTTCCAATATAATCGAGGTTTGACCTTTTAATAAATAATGTCGTAAACCAGTCTAACTGGTGAGGCAAATTGTAGATGAGTAAGATATAATAATATGTGTGTTATTCAGAAATATTAATGGCCGTAGACATATAACAAACATGTAATAGAAGCCAATAGCAATGAGGAAAGAATTGCCGAGTTCGTTATTACCGTAGAAGATTTCATTTGTCTGCATATTGATGGCGAAAATAGCAAGTGAACTGAATAAATAAATATAAAGGAATTACACTTAAAGTTTCTCAAGCAGATCCCACAAATTTGCAATCATCCCACAAATTAAAATCAAATATTCTCGTCAAATCTCAAACCTCCCTGCTAAGTGTGGAGATAATATAGCAAACGTACTTCTCTTCCTACGTAGGGAAGGCCAGTAATAGTCTTTTTTTAAGGGGGGAAAATCATCGAATGACTACTCCCCCCGGTCAATAATAGTCTTGGAGTGGTTCGTCAAGGACCTTGTCAAACGACACTACACGTTTGCTTTTTAACCGACTTGAAAGAGAAAAATTAAGGAGATTGTCAGTTGGACCTGTATGTATGTTCGTGCGCGATTTTCTCACGATTAGCTGAACTGATTTTGATGCGGTTTACAGAAAAGTGTTTATAACACTTTGGACAAGGTTTTAGTATATTAATTAACTGACTTCAAAAAGAGGGCGTTGGTTTTTTTTAAACATAGTTTATAAAGAATGATTTCCATGCACAAACGGTTCCACAAACAGCTATCAATTTATAGACACTATTTCGTTGTCAAAATTGAATTAGTCTATTCAAAATATAGTAGATGACTAATTTTTATTTTAATGTCCATCTGGTAGATTATTTCAAATCATTAGACACGTATTTTTTATTTTCTTACGAATACTTTCGACGGTATATTGATTTGAAATGTCGCGTGACGTCACTTCTATGTACATTTTATACGTAGCATTGACGTTTTAGCCCCCACTCCTTTGATTCGTTTTATTTAAATATTGTTTTATTATACGACAAAATAAAAAAATATACGTGTATAATATTTTTTCATTACCTAACTTACGGACTAATTCGACTTTTAATTTTTATACCCTGTCATCATCCCAATTAGACTATAATCATATACATAGACTAAAATTCTTAAGACACATTATAATCTATCCATAATTAGACTAAATTCCTTCATTACACAAACTACATCAACAATTCTACAAGTATCAAGCAATGAAGTAACAATTACACTTTCTAAAGCTGCGATATTAACAAGGAATTTGCGTAAATTTCCTTGCTCTAGTTAGATGTACCAACTTGATACCTGTACAGGTATAAGGAAGGGAAATCACACGACTGTTTTATGACCAGCTTTTATACCAACTATTCAGAACACGTCTTTTGAGGCCTAAATATAGACAGGCGGAGACAAAAAGAGCAATTAGACTTAATTTATTGTTGTATTACTGATTCTAGATGCGTGTTTGTTTAGAATAATATGTATGTGAGTCCGTTAGTATTTTGCGTCTCTTTATTTTTAAAAATAAAATAAGTAGCCTTGGTATTTGTAGAATTGATTTACTTTGCAGATAAATAAAAAATATTTTTTTCATAACATGCCAAAGGTCGGAATACTCAAACGCTACTCAATTTTAAGTCGCGCTTAAATATAGTTCTGTCTCTACAAATTCTTTGTAAAATGACAGAGACGGCACGATATTTAAGCACGACTTATTATACCTCAATTTCCTACAAAAGAATAAACATTATTTCTGAAATGACTCGATGGCTTTTTATATCCCTATCGTCTCTAAATTACTTAACGACTTAGATTGATTCCAATACTACATTAGATTGTTCGATTATTGAAAATTTCTTCTAGAACTAAACAGAATAGTTTATGCTCCTGATAATAATTATGTTCGTATGGTAACAGTTACAAAATAGAACGGCCCTTCACTACATTTGTTACACCTTGAGCTCACCTTGGCATCGAAGTACGCATGAAGTACTATCAGTAATTTATTAATTACTCTCATACATTCACATGTTACAAAGTTAACAGAAAGTTTTCACCTTGTTCATACAAACTTGAGATAAACTGTCAAAATTTTAAGTCAATACTTCGCTATTTTGAAGTCTAAACCATACCTTGGTTAATAAACACTAATCAGATAATTCCACCTAACCATTGACTTCAAATTGAGCCTAAGAGCTGCCTTATTGGAAGGTTGTCGCTCTCCTGTTAGGTCCTTTAACAGTAATACTTTATTCGCAAATAGATGTCCATCTTAAATTCCCCAATCTCCCCAATTCCTGAATCCCCAACGATCCTCAAACTCCTAATCCCCAAAATGCCGGTAACGCACTTGGTATTCCAGGTGTCCATGGGCGATGCCGATTGCTTACAATCAGGTGATCCGTCTGCCCGATTACCGGCTTATGCTATAAAAAAAAATCGAAATCATTCCTAATTTATTATTCACACCTTTCCAGGCTCATTCTCGTACGTAGACCCTCGCCAGAAGGTCCGGACGGTGGACTATGTGGCAGACAAGCAAGGGTTCCACCCGATCCTGAGCCATGTGCTTCCAGAACACCCAGCAGACTCCGAGTCTGTCGCCCAGGCCAAGAACAGGCACTACCAGCTCTACGCTAAGATCGCTGAGGAACATGCTAACCCCCATCCTGAATGTAAGTTGGATTAGAATCACGATGTTCTATGTTATTTTATCTCATATTGAGCTTCACACATAGTACAGTGAACATAAAAATGAATAATACATGCATAACGTTACCCTTGTATTAAACATTCTCCCTAAAGACTGACTTCAGCAATTCTGATATGACAAAACATAACAAAAATATTTTTGGATGAGACAAAAAAAACTTGTTTTTAACCGACTTCAATAAAAAAGAAGTTCTCAGTGTCTTATATGTATGTATGTATGTGTCTACGCGATTAACTCGCGATTGGCCGAACCGATGATGCGGATTTTGATGCGGTTTTAGCATATTAATTAATAGACTTCAAAAAAAAGAAGAGGTTGAAGTCGGTTTTTTAAACGTAGGATATAAAAGAATTATTTAAAATGATATTTTAGCAGTACAACGTAAAATAAGAAACAGGAGTGTATATTCACAAGACATGAGTTTCCGAGAGACAGGCTCGTTTTTACTGATTTTCCCAACAAAATTAATTTTAACCGACATTGACAACATATGTTCTCATATATGTATATCTCTCTCTCTTCCAGTAATATCAGCACCTATAGAGTCACAGGCCGTAGCCGAAGCTCGCGCGAAACATGCCGAACTATTCCGAGTGATTGCCGAACAGCACGCGCGCATCGCAGCAGAAAGAGAAGCACTCTTAAGAGAAGAAGAAGAGAAACAACAACTACAGGAACTAGGACAGTAGACCTTCATCAAATATGGAGTAGCAGATGGATAAACTGAGAAGTGGAGACAACGGCTTGTATAGCTATACTTTTCCGAGGTATACTGACTCTTTATTGTATACTAAATACGTAATTTGAGTACAGTTGTACTTAGTGTAGATTATAGTTGTTTGACGTTGTCTGTACTTCAGAACAATAATATAATTATGCTAAATAGTTACGCAAAGTCTAAAGTAATAATCATGTGACACTGAGTAAGGGAAATCCAGATTTAAAGTGATTGACATTAAATACAAAATACATTGTTTGTCTCTGCTATCCATATTTGACAACAAAACGACTGCAGTGATACTAATTAAAATAAATACAAAATTGTTACATATTTTTAACTATTTATGTAGGTACATCTTTTCTATGAATTTTTAAAATTTTTACCACGACTTTTTTATGCTAAATTTTTTATGCTAAATCTTTTTATGCTAAATCTTTTTTACATGTGATACTCAATACTCATTTGAGTTGTAACGATTAATTATATTCTCATTTTTTTAAATGGTAGTTACCATTTAACTGTGAATAATTTGTGTAAGTTTGTATATAAAATATTAAATATAAGTATTTTAATAATACTCTCTCGAAATGCCATAATAAAACCAATTTGATATGACTTATTTTCTAGTTCACGTATGTATTAAGTGAAAATTTTGTATTTTTATACTTAACGTGTTTTTGTAATGTGAAAACATCTCAATAATGATAATAAATAAAAGAGTAATTAATAAGTATTGATCATTTTACTCAGAGAGGTTTATTTAACACCGTAGGTTAGTTACCTATTAACACATAACAACATAACATAACATCACGCCTTTTATCCTCGAAGGGGTAGGCAGAGGTGCACATTATACCACTGTACAATGTAACACCCACTATTTATGTTATGAGTCCCATGTAATAGGGGGTGAGCCTATTGCCATATACCGGGCACAGTTCCAGACTCCGTGTTACTACTGAGAATTTTTAAAATACCCAGTAATACTTTGCCCGACCCGGGAATCGAACCCGAGACCCCTTGCCCGGCAGTCGCACTTGCGACCACACGGCCAACGAGGCAGGCAACGAGGTGCCTATTACTTTTAAGATAAAATTATTAGATTATAAAATGGGCGGGAGGAGGCGCTAGCGCAGTGACCCACGCGAGACACTCGAGGAAAGAAATCAGCCTGCAAGGGCTTATGGCGCCGACTTCTAACCTATCAGTGGATGGGTAACGTATATCAGTCAGTACTAATAGTTATATTTTGCTTTTTGTTTGTTATTAGTTTTTGGTTTTTTGAAGTCGGTTTTTAAACGCAATGTTTATTAAAGTTCGCTACGTTTGTTTTTTTCATTGATTTTAATAACATAACATAACATAACATCACGCCTTTTTATCCCCGAAGGGGTAGGCAGAGGTGCACATTATACCACTGTACAATGTAACACCCACTTTTCACTATTTATGTTATGAGTCCCATGTAATAGGGGGTGAGCCTATTGCCATATACCAGGCACAATTCCAGACTCCGTGCTACTGAGAATATGAGATACTACTGAGAATATTTAAAAACCCGGTAATACTTTGCCCGACCCGGGAATCGAACCCGAGACCCTTTGCCCGGCAGTCGCACTTACGACCACTCGGCCAACGAGGCAGTCATTGATTTTAATTTTGAGTAGATTTATCAAATGAAATGCAGAAATAACATGTTAAACTTTTAATCAATAACATTGAACGAAGCCGTAGATATAGGGGGATGTTGCCGTGTCGTTGTTAATTATTCGCTGGTTACATCTGTAAATAATATTAAAACTCATTAGATTGGATAGATCGATAGAATTATGATTTGTTTTTTAATTATTTAGCTTTGAATTGTAAACTAAGAATCATAACAGAACATCATGCCTTTTATCCCCGAAGGGGTAGGCAAAGGTGTACATTACGGCACTTAATGCCACTGTACAATGTAACACCCACTTTTCACTATTTATGTTATGAAACCCATGTAATAGGTGAGCCTGTTGCCATATACCGGGCACAATTCCAGACTCTTAAAACACAGTAATACTTTGCCTGACTCGGGAATTGAACTTAAGACCCCTTGTCCGGAAACCGCACTTGCGACAACGAGGCAGTCAACTAAGAATCAATTACAGGGTAAAACGGGGTGAACAGAATTAAAGAGGCGAATAGATACTATGCAGCATTTTCCAATGGCCTATTCACCCCTCGAAATCTATTGACCATATTTTAAGTTTGAAGGTACTTACTGCTTGGTGGAGGGCCGGGTGGTGGTCCATAGCCGCCATTGCAGCCAGCCTTCTGTACAGTGGTCATGCCACTCTGGGAAACGATAAAAACTATGAGATGAACCACTCCCAATGCAACAGCATCATAACCATAACCAGTTTTCTTAAGGACTCGGAAAACTTCAATCACTATAATTATACTAGTTTAAAAATTAATAATTTTTTTACACTGCTTGTACTTACAGTAACAATACCTTTAGCTTAGTAATTATTATGTTTTTTTGGCTTATTCACGTAGTTTTAAGGCATGCTAAACTAGTCGAGTTCCTCGGCATATAGGTAATTAATTACGTGTGTAAGCCGAAAAACATAACAATTAATTTAGTATGTCTCACGAAAGTTACAATATACACTTTCAGCTTGTCTGATGGATAGCAATTACCGCCATATCTTAATGACGTCAGCATCCCCATACTGACATTGTGTATTATTTACTCCACCACAGATCCAGAATAAAGGTACCTACTGATATAATGATTCCCAAAAGTTTTTGAATATTCAAACTCATGATTTTGATACTCACGACAGCAGCAAGGGCGATGCCCATAACAGCGATGATAACTCCAAAAATCTTCATGTTGTTTCAGCGAATGATCGTGAACTGACGACCTCCTGGACACCCTCGCTATATATACTGGATGTAACAAGCTAAATAATCTATTTGTAACAATTTACCATCCGGTGATATATAATAATAATACATAATATTTATTGTAACAACCTTCCGCTGTTCAGCAATTTGTAGGCGTCGATGCGACAAAATTATTGAACTTAAATAAATATTTTGATAATTTACTTCTGTTTCTACGTGGTTAGTGCTTGTGCACTCGCTTCAGTACAGTAATTTTAGCTTAAATGAATGGGGAACTATATATTACGTTAATGGCATTACATCATTTAAAAAGGTGCTGTTTTTTCTATGAGGAAACAAACAAACTCGAAGCGGTGCACTTCGTTGTCTTCAAACCCCAAGTGAACAGGTTGCTCATAGGTAGGCGTGCTCCATCGTTGGCCCCATCATCGCTTACCATCAGGCAAGATCACATCACAATCACCACTGCACGGTTGACGCGGTGGCTGGTCAACTGGCTGCCACGTAATGTCGCGATTTAGATTCCCGCGCAGAACAACTCTTTGTGTGATCAACAGATTTTTGTTCCAGGTCTGGGTGTCATGTGTATGTGAACACACCCACGACACAGAAGAATATCCCAATGTGGGGCAACATTTTTCAAAACAAGATGGTGGCTAAACGCCATCCTATTAAATATAAAAAATACAAAACGTACCACCTAATTTTTGATTAATAGTAACATAATCTAACTAAAGTATATAGTCTATTGAAGTCTCTCCTTTCGGCTGGTCAATTACTTTAATTCTAGGGGTAAATCAGATTTAGTTGTTTCACAATCCGCTAAGGAGGACATCACATTCTTGATAAGACCTATCGTTAGATATTTGAGGCTTTAAACTGGCTTATCAACTATCACAGTTGTTTGAATGACAACCGGGACAGACATATACATTGTACCTCCTGAGGCTTAGCATTATAGGAACTGTGGGTATTAAGATAGGAAGTAAATACTTGTGAAGAGTTAAGTAAACTTAAAATGTTTGTGTTCGGAGTCGATTCGCTGCTGCAGTTTGACAAACTTTGATTTGAATTCGATCTATAAAGTATAAACCATCAGCTTAAGGTTATAATTCCGTCGATATCCTTATCGACTTACTTACTTTATTGCTATAAAGAGGAAATGTGTTTAGTGTAGCAGTAAAACTGATCTTCTTCCTGCCCTTTTCCCTAGATATTTGAAGTCATTAGCAGTACTGCCAAATAAATGTTTTTTCTTTGTTACTGTCTTTACTATAAGGGCACTCGGGGCGCGTGCCCAGGGTGCCCCGAACGACCGACAATTTCTACGGCAGGCACACACCTGCAGGGCCGCTACACGTCGCGCGGCAACCGCCTGCCGTGCAATATGTCGCGGGTTCAATTCTAATTCTAAATCTTTGTGTGATTCACAAATTGTGGTTTCGTGTCTGGGTGTCATGTGTATGTTTGACTTTGTAAACGCACCCACGATTAACAGGAGAAAAACCTAGTGCCCTACACTAGAAGCATTGGAAAGGACCCCGATTCATTCTATGCCCAAGGACCGTAGCGGAGTCTAAGACGGCCCTGGGTGTTTACTCTTGAAACCAATCTCAATGTCAATGCATTTCAATCCAATTATATCTCAATAATTATCTAATGTCAAAACTATACAACCCCTATCGTAGCTGCTAAAGTAGCACTTAGAGTACGGAATATAAAACCAAACTCAATACTATTTAGTTCATGAAATATCCACGCAATACGGATGCAAAAGGCGCTAGTATTACAACTCAAGAGTACGAAATTTCACAATGTCAATGTCGATCGATCGGAATTGGATTCAAGAGTAAGCACCCTGGTCATTAGAATGTTATGTCCGTTTTTCTCATTGCTCCTATTGAACGTTTTTCTGTCATATCTATAGAGTCGACTAGGTAAATACCTTTCAACGTCTCTCCAACCGGTGCCTACTAAGTATTAGGCTTCCTTTAAAATTCCTACTTATTACTAGTCACTAGTGAACCACTATAAGTCCGGCATCGTTTGGAGTTTCTCATTGTTTCATATCTAATAACGACTTCTGTCACTACTTCGGATTTCTCGAATTATATAGTCATCGGTATTTCCAAGGTTTATTCTACGGCTGTGGCAAATGTCATCAGACTCGATTCAGAACCTAGTAACATTTATTGTGAGATCAAAGAGTAACGCCAGACTGGCACAGTTGTTCATCCATTTCCATCCACTGCTGCATATCGGCTTCCAAACCATTATCGAAAAGTAAAGAAAAATTTTAAGCGTTATAGCAAAGTATCAAGCTTGGGTATAAAATGTTTAATGCCAGTTCAGTTCTGAGTTTTCTCGAACAGTTTTAGCTTGTTCGAAAAGTTTGATCTATAAATTTCGAGCTTGTCAGACGAGTTTCGAGCATTCTCGAACACTTTTGAGCAAATTATTTAATATAAAATATCCAATGGCTTATTATGTATTGTCATGACCTA